GCAACGTATGTACAAATGTGCTTGATACAATGGATGTATGGATTGTTATAAGAGCTGTAAGAGCTCCCGATAAAATGATTTTTTTAAAAACCTAAATAAATAAATAAAATATCCACCTGTAGCTAACGTCTACCAAATTGAATAGCACAGGTCTCAAACGCATCTCATTTCAGAAGAGACTGTAGTTTTTAGAAAGTCATTCAAGCAGCCAACAGAACATAATGACATTCAGATTATAAAAACAGTAATGAATAAAGCCACGTTTCACAGGGCATAAAAACTCACTGCTATATAGCCCATTTCAGCTCACAGCAGCTCTGTATATAATGAAGTAGAGTCTTCTCCCAGCCCCCACCCCCAGCCCAACGTTTTTCCTGAGAAATGTTGAGACCGGGTAGATCTGTGTTTCTTTACAAGGTGCCTGGTGGTGCTGTGGGTTAGGTATTGGACAGCAACCCAAGGTAGGCAGTTCAAATCCACCAGCCACACTTTGGGAGAAAGATGAGGCTGACTGCTTCCGTGAAAAGTTACAGTTTCGGAAACCCTATCAAGGGTTGCCGTGAGCTGGAATGGACTTGGTGGCAGTAGATTTGGTTTGGATTTGCCTACCAAAAGTAACAGCTTTATTTTACTGCAATGTCGCTCTCTTCTGCTCAAGATAGCTTAAAATAACAAACACATGTAAAAAAGAGAGATTAGGCCCCTAGAAGTTGAGAGTAGTGTCTAGTCTCATTTACAAATAAAGTAAAAATACTTTAAAGTGAAGTTAATTAACAAGATTTGATGGCTCAAATAAATCACAATGTATTAAACACAACAATCATGCACACAAAATTAACAAACTGAGGAGGGGAAAATACAACCTCAAACAAAGTGTACAGATATTCGCATTTTCTACCCACTCTTTCTTGTTTCTTCTGGCCCCAAAAGACCTAATGACAGACAAAGCGTTCTGTAGCCCCTTTGGTATAACAGGAAGAATGCGAGACGGGCCACCAGGGGGTCTAGGTCTGGAGCCAAACTCTCCCACTGGATAGGCTTGGCCAATTCATTCCTTCAGCCTCAATCTCCTTGATCTTGAACAAAGAGGGTTCGAACTGTCTGATTCAGAAATCTCTCCTGGCTCTGCAGTGCCCACTTGGCACGTGGAAAGTGCTCAGTAACCACTGAAGGGCAGAAAGAAACGGGTGAAAGTAGAAGAAACGTGTTTCTTTTCACTGTGCTTCAACGTGGGCCCTTTGGAATGACAAGCGACAAAAGTATGAAAGATGAAGGTGTGGGGACCCTCGGGTCCTGTGCGAATCCGGGAATGGGGTCATTTCCCTGTCCTCCACCAATAAAAAACCCACTGCCACTGAGTTGACTGACTCAGGGGAACCGTGTAGGACACAGGACAACGGCCCCTCCGGGTTCCTTCCCGAGAGCAGCCGTCCTCTTTCTCCCTGGGAGCTGCGGGTGGAAGGGTGTGCAAGAGAGGGCCTCCCCACCACATGCAACTTTCCCACGGGCATCAGGTTTGCAATTCCTCTAAGACTTTAGAAAACGCAGATTCAAAAGGGCAGGTCTGTTGATAAGGGAAAGCGCACTTAGTCCACACAGAACATTATGAGAAAAGCATTTGGAAAATAATCTCTCCCGGTCAGTGGTGCGTGTTTTCATTCTAACAGTGCCTAAGCGGAGCAGGAGCTTTTACATGTAAGGAAAACCGATCTATGCATTCTTCTTTTCACTTTCATGGCTCCTGCTTCAGGTGTCCTACCTAAAATGCCACTGACAACACCAGGGCCACCTAGGTGTTTCCCTCGTATCTCCCAGAACTTTTACAGGTCTGCATCTTACAGGTAGGTCTAGGATCCGATTGGGTTCACGTTTGTGATGGGTTTGAGGTCTGTGTTGTGATCCCTCGCGCTCCATTCCCACCCCATGTCTCTCTCTGTGCTTCGTGTAGCTATTTCCAACCTCCCTATCTTGCCTCGTTTTGCCCTCTGTGTCTAGTATCTTTCGTGCTACTAAACCCTAATACTAAATTTTCACTTTTGGTTTTGCTTTTTCAGATTGTTATTTTACAATGGGCTCTTTCCTAAATCTGTTAACACAATTTCTTATAAAGTCCAGTGCTTGCCAATTGTAAGAGAACTCTGTTTTAACTTTCTTCTCCTTAAACATCATAAGCACACTGAACAAAGAAAGCCTCCCTGCCATCAGGTCAACCTTACAGAGGGTTTGCAATCTCATGCATCTTTTTTCAAAAATCATTTTATTAGGGGATTTATGCATCTTTAGGGGAGCAGGCAGCCTCTTCTTTTTCCCTCAGTGTGGCTGGGGGAGTTGAACCACCAATCTTGGGGTTAGCAGTCCGCCATCTGACCCACAGTGCCAACGGGGGTCTTTTATTTATCTATTTAGTTGGGGAGGAGGTGGCTTTTATTTTTAAAAGGCAGTTACTTTACACTCTACAGCTAATAAAGTGACTGTCTGAGGTACTGCCCCTGGTTTGCCTGTGTCTTCTTATGTGTGATTGTGCGATAGAAGCAGCATTTTCAAACTGACTGTGGAATCATTAGAGACCTGTAGGCTAGTGAGTCTCTGGGAGAAGGGCTAATTCTGTCTCGTAGAGTCAATGAGTCAAAATCAACTCGCTGGCAGCAAGTGTGAAGCTTGAGGTGAACTGAGCTCAGCTGAGTGAGAGACGTGAAGCTCATAACCCAACGGGCCATTTCGGACCCCAAAGCAGAACAACAGCCATCATCCAATGACTCCCACAAACGTTTTGCCTCATGTGGCCTTTAACACAACTGATATTTTTTCCTGTTATGCTTATATTCTTATCACGTTGTCATTAGGATGCGGGGGCTGGGTTTCTTCACGCAGCACATGCGCCCTTCCAGCACATTTACTGTTACATTGGTTGTTGAGACTAAATCTCATTGTTTAAAATCAGCAAGATTTCATTTGTACATAATCCTCCTCAAAATCACCTCTCCTTTTCCACACTAGGCTTCAACACCCATGTAATTCCTGCAACAACCCAAAAAAGACATATCTATGCTAGAATCTTTTTTTATTACTCTATGTTGCATGTGTGTGTTTTTTTAATTATGATTTCCAGTTGACCTTTAAACTTTCCAGATGTGCCTTGTGGCAAATTTTTTTTTTAAAGACTTTGCAATTATCATGGATTGAATTGTGTACCCCAAAACACGTGTCAACGTGCCTGGGCCGTGGTTCTCAGTGGTTTGGGGATTTATGGGATAATTGAGCAACTATGCAATGAGGTAATCAGCTCCCGTGATGTGATCAGTCAGTCACTTACAAGGAGAAGGGTGGGGGGGAGAATTCAATCCGATGGTCTGCATCACCTTTCGTGTCTCAACAGATAAATGGAGAGAGCCGTGAACAGAGGAGGGATCTACAACTACCAAGAAAGAGGAGCTGGGAATGGTCATCGTCCCTTGGACAAAGGGTCCCTGTGTTGAGACCCTCCTAGACTCGGGGGTAGATGCCAAGACCTATGGAGATCTCCAAGGGATACTTGGTCCACTGGTGGTGACAGAAGACAAAGACCTTGTCTCAGCTCTGACTAACAAAGCCTGTCCTAGGACTGGCACCCTAAATTTGAACTTCTCTTAAACCGTGAGCTGATAAACTTCTGTTTGTTAAAACCACCCCCTTATGGAATTCCTGATATACTAGTGTTGGAAAACCCGAGGCAGTATTTAAAAAAAACAAACCAACCTGGCTGAGCGCATACATGCTGGATAGAAAACACGCAAAATATCCTTATGTAGAGTATCTATGTAGCTCAGTTCAATTCTATGATTTCTCCTTCATTAAGCAGCCATATGTGGATTTAGTTAGCATTTCACTGCTTTTTTCTGTGAGGATAGGGTTAAACATATTACAAGATTGACAGTCTGTCCCGGGACCTCTGGGGCCCAAGAGGATATGACAGAAGCGCTATCTCACAGGCTTTCTTACCGTCCTGAGCAGGCACTTTCTACAGGGTGAACACTTGCTAGCAGGTTTCCTGTTCATACATGCATGGGTTTGTTCCAAACTAAACATGTTTCAACATGTCTCAGTGATCAGTGGATGGCTACAGACAAGTTCTCTAAGTAAGAAATTAGTCTTGGTCTCATGAAGATGCCTTTGGGCTTCCAAGGACATCAGTTCAAAACAGACAGGCCGGTTCAAAAGGCTACGGCACCTGTGTTTGCCATATTCCTAACGAGGTCATCTGGATAGCTTTTCAAGCAGGACAGTCATGGGGACTTGTGAGGAAGAAGCGGGGAGAAAATGGAAAGCCACACGTGTTGGGGAGGACAATACCAGGGAAGGTGTTCTGAGGAGCTGTTTCCCCCACATTGTAACGTACATGCGCTTTCCTCAGGGTGGCAAGGGCTGCCCTGTGAGAATTTCATTGAGAAACCTCACTCCTTCAACCCGACAGGCCTGATTTATTTTTGTTTCCCAAAACTCAATGAAAAGAAACACAATTTGAGTCCCTCAAAGATAAAGTCATCTCCGGATTGTGATTTGATGTGGTTATTCTCCATCTTAACCTAATGCCATTCTCCACCCCACCAGCTGGCCTTTGGAACCCAATTAGGTGGGTAAGTGAGCAGTGGGTGCATATGGCTCCAGCTCACCCTCTATCGCTGAACCTCTTTCCACCATCAATAAAATAGAAGCCCCAACGTGAAACTACTGCTCTGAGTTAAGTGTACGGCACACTCTAATCTCGTGCTATTGCCAACAATGTTTGTTCAGCATCTGCGTTTTATATTAGACTGCTCTTTCTCCGTGCGAGGAGACGAAGTTTCACATGGTTATTTGTGATGGGTGAACGCCTAGATTTTTACACACATAGCCAGTATACTGCCAAACTCCACATCAGTGCTTACCTTGGGAGGTTTCCTTGACGGATGGAAACAGAACAATTGCAGCAGTGGACGTAAGGAGGGTTGTCAATACAGCAGCCACAGGACAGGGAAGCAATGGAAGAGAAAGAAACAGAAGTAATTCAGTATCGGGAAAACATGAGCTGAAAGGTGTTTAGCCTCATGAAGATTGGAAGCCTAGTTCAAACAAATCAGATAACCTTCCTTGTTGGTTAGAAAAATTAAGAACAGGTACAATGCATTTATTGCCTGGTTTGATCGAATGGCTCCACAAAGTCATCAGTTTAATGATTCTAAGGAATGTCGAGGGGAGAACATCTGGATAAAGGGTGATGCAGCCATGACTTTTTAACCCATTTTCACATTTGAAGGCATTTTCTTAACATGGATATTAAAATAGATACTTTTTTTTTTTTTACAAATTTTATGCAAGCTTATTTGGTTCATATATTCAGTCTTGTGCTTTGTTTGATTGCCTAACATTATGCTAGGAGCACTGCACATGGCTCACAAATTAAGAACTTGTAAGATTTTCAGCAAACTTTTTTATTGAAGGTTGACGTATAATAGACATAAAACGTTTACATCATAATTTCTCAGCTCAGTGAATGTGATTATGAACACACCTGTACATCTTAAAATACCAATTTTCACCTATCAGTGATGCAGGATTAAATGGAATTGAACTTAAAAAGACTCTGAAAAGGAACGAAAGCTCAAAATCACAAAATATTAAGTGGACTTGTTTTGCAAATTCGCTTCTCATGTGCAAAGTTCAGGAGTTGGACAATGATTTCTATATTGTGATAGTTCTTATGCTTTCTAATGTGTAATTCTTTTTTAAAAAACTATGATGCCACTCAGGCTGCTAAAATTTCAAGATACCCCTGGCTTAGTGGTTACCCATTGGGCTGCTAACAGCAAGGTCACTAGTTCAAAACCACCAGCCGCTCCACGGGAGGAAGAAGAGGCTCGAGGAAACACATAGGGGCAGTTCTGCCTTGTCCTATAGGGTCGCTGTGAGTCAGCGTGAGTTTGGTTGGTTTTTATTTTGTATTAAACAACTTGAACTACATATATCAAACCTCCTCATAGATTGCCCTGACGCCCTTCCCCTTTTTACTACTTGGTCAACTTTTGATGCTCAATTCACACCACACACTATCAAATAGGATGAAGGCGTTTTCCTGGTGGCTTTAACTCCAGTTCACAGGAGATAAGATTGTTGGGCTAAGAAATCATTTTTCAGAACAGAGGGCACAGGCGGCCAAAACAGCCAGGTGCCTTTTCTCCATCTGAGTGATTCGATGGCTCGCAAAGTTCCCAAGGCCCCAAACAAAACCCAGAACGCCGTAGCAGGGGAAGAATGCCTGTGGATTCCACAATCAGGTGGACAATCTTAGACAGGTGAGTTCTGGGAAAGAAAACTTTCCTATCACCTTGAGGACGAGTCGACACATATGCATATGAAAGAGGGACTTCAGGGAGGCGGGAGCAGCACTGACGCTTTGTGCTGCTGCTGCTGTTGACAGGATCATGGACGGCCAGAAGAACAAAGAAATTTACCTCGGAAGAAGCCCAGCCAGAGTTTTCCTTAGAAGTGTGGATGGTGAGATTTCATCTCATGTTCTTTAGACACGTTACTGGGAGAAACCAGTCCCTGCAGAAGGATATCGCGCTTGGGAGAGTAGATCAGCAAAAAAAGAGGTAGAGCCTCAACCGGACGGCTATACTGTGGGCTCAAGCAAATCGATTGTGAATTCACTGCAGGCCTGCGCGGTGTTTCATTCTGTGGTACGGGTCACCGAGTGCAGACCCGCTCAAAAGCACTTAGCAACCACAGCATGACAGGAAGCTAAGGTCTCGTTCCAAAACTCCATAAATTAGCTGGTAGGAAACGAGCCTCCCCGAGTCTTCCAGTCTTTCCCCAAGAAAGCCAGAAATAGGAAGATGGTTTTGCTTTAAGTTTTGGAGGCAGTGGTATAACTGGCATCTCTGGCGACCACCAAGCAAGTCTCGACATATTTGTGGTACAGTAAAAACACACGGTAGGCTTTAGTTCTAAGAAAACCATGGAGTTTAGTTCCAACATTTCTGCGAGGGAACCGTGCTAACGTGGAACACTGCCCTCAAAAGCATCTGTTCTGAGCAGGCGGAGGCACAAGGAAAGCTTCACGCATCGCACTTTTGACAGGTCTTCTCTTACTTTGTTTAGGTCAACTTTAACAATCCACTTAGATTACTACTTGATAGTAAAAAAGAAGTCACTTGGGTGACAGGGACAATCATATGAAACAGCATGAGACGACTTAATAAAATACAAGTTTCCCACGGAAGGGGTGAGGGGCCAAATAACAATGGGATGGGAGGGAGGGAGAGAGAGCATCGAGATGGCACATCGTAATGGTAATTCCAGCGATCTCTCCAGAATTCTCATGTACTGAATTTTTTAATACTTTTATTGGGAACGCTCCCAGATATTGCAACCATCCATATTTCCATTAGATCAAGTATGGTTGTACAAATGCTACCACCACACCGCTCTCCCCCTCTTGTCGTACAAACCCCAAACCTACCACCATTGGGCGAGTCCACCTCAGAGCGACCCCACAGCAAGAGGCAGAAAAACGGCCTCTGGGACTTCCTGACCTGGAAACCTTTCTGGACGCTGACTGCGTCTTTTTCCTGCAGAACACCTGGTGGGTTTGAACCACCAGCTGTGAACCACCAGTTCAGCACTACAACATGAGGCTCCTTAGCATCAGCATAAGCAAGGTTACACATTTTTAAATTGATGGCCCGGTGTTGGTTAGATTCATCAAAGCCATATTTAAGTCTCTGTCAGGTCCGTCCAGCCTACTGCTGCAATACTTGAGCACAGGAGTGAGAAAATCCCAGCTCAAGGCATCTCAGTGAACTGAAAACGACAGCTCTGCAAACAGGCCTCACAGCGCCCCCACACGACTCCGTAGAAGGACGATACCAGGGACACTCAGGTAAGGGTAAGTGCACTTCTAACCACTCTTTACTGCCCGCGCTCTAATTCATCATCCAAAAAGGCTTGGGATTAGAGAGCTGCCTCTCTGTAATTGAAAAATACCTATTGTGAGACTCTTTGGGTACTGTAAAGACATACATTGAATTTGACCTTCCACAAACCGCTAACTAGTGCTTCTAGGTCTCAGAACTGGGAGCAAACATAGAAAGAGCAAAGGGGTGCTTGTATTAACTATTTTGCAAGGAAGCGAAGCTTCCTCTCCCTTCCAAGACAAGCAGGCCAATTCCTTCATGTCATGCAACGTGTGCATTCACCACACAATTCAATCTCCGTGCCCTTACCTGATTTCCCCACCCAACCCCCCGCCTCCCCACCTATCAGGTCTTCCTGCCTTTCAAGCCTCAGCCAAACAAGCACATGAAAGGCTTCTTCACTCCCAGCTATCAAGACCTCGGTGCTGCCTCTCAATCTAGACTAGATGGGAGCATGTACATAGGTATAAGCAAGAGATAAAACTCACAACACATGGAACCCAGGAACAGGAATGGGAAGAGAGATCCCAAAAGCGTAGAGGGAAGTGGGGGAGGGAGGAGGGCACCGATCGCAATGACTGGCACATAATCACACACCCCCAGTCAGAGGGAAGAACAACAGAAACCAGAGGGGAAGGGAGATGGCAGTCGGAGTGAGATTTGAAAATAATTAACAATTTACAATCTATTAAGGGGCCACGAGGGTCGCAGGGCGGGGGGAGGGAGGGGAAAAAAGGAGGAACTGATCCGAATGGAAAGTAAATGTCCAGAAAAGCACAATGGAATATATGTACGAATATGTCAGATGCAAATGGTGCATGGTTTGTAACAAGAGTTGTAAGATTCCCAATAAAATGATTTTTTTTTTAAAAAGAGCCTTTTTGACTGTTTGCATGACACCATGGTGGCTGGCAAGAACAAGTGCCTTACAAAAAGTGGTAAAAAAAGGAGCTAAGAAGAAAGTATAAGTGGGTTGGATCCATTTTCTAAGAGAGACTGGTATGATGTAAAAGCACCAGCTATGTTCAATATAAGAGATATTGGGAAAACACTAGTCACCAGGGCTCAAAGAACCAAAATTGCATCTGATGGCCTCAAGGGTGGATTTTTTGAAATGAGCCTTACTAACCTGCAAAATGATGAGGTTGCTTTTAGAAAATGTAAGTCAATTCCTGAGGATGTTCAGGGCAAACACTGCCCGACCAACTTCCATGGCATGGATCTTACGCGGGACAAGGTGTGCTCCATGGTCAAACATGGCAGACCGTGACTGAAGCTCATGTTGACGTCAAGACTGCCGGTGGGTGTCTACTTCGTCTGCTCTGTGTTGGCTTGACTGAAAGAGGCAATAATCAGCACCGGCAGGTCCGCCAAATCCGAAAGAAAATGGTGGAAATCATGGCCCGAGAGGTGCAGACAAATGACTCGAAGAAGAGGTCCATCAGTGAGTCCAGACAGCACCGGGAAAGACACAGAAAGGCTTGCCAGTCTAGTTCTCCTCTCCACGATGTGCTTGTCAGAAGAGTCGAGATGCTGAGGAAGCCCGAGTTTGAACTGGGAAGACTCACGGAGCTCCGTGGTGAAGGTGGACGTTTTGGAAAAACTACTGGAGATGAGACAGGTGCAAAAGTGGAACCAGCTGATGGCTATGAGCCACCAGTTCAAGAATCTGTTGAAAGTTCAGACTTAATGCTGACAAATAAAGGTCTTATTGTGTAAAAAGAAAAAGAAAATAAACCACTGTTTTGTCTGGACCTTTTATTTAAAGGCACTCAGTCAAAACCAAGAGATATAATATTATTAAGAGAACTTTTCTGCGGCCATTCACTTAGAGCAAAGATATATTTAAACATGATTGTTGGAATAATCTTGTGCATAAATGGAAAAAAAGATGCTCAACACTATTAGTTATTCATTAGGAAAAGGCAGATATAGACCACTTAATATCCATCAGTATGTCTACTGTAAAAAAAATTTTTTTTTAAT